ATTAAATAAGTCTTTATCTAGCAAGTAGTTCAAATGTTTTTATGCTATGGGATACTCCATTTTGCTTCAAAATTCGTTTTTTAGTTGGTTCAATCTGTATGTGATATCCATTTTTCTCTGTGTACCCCTTTTTGCACATCCTCAATGTGCTGACACGTAGAACTGCAAAGGCAACGGACCTGCTCCTGTACAATGTATCTGTATCTGTAGTTGTATCTGCACTTGTATCTGTGTCCTGGCTGAGCGACAGTTTGACATCTCTAAATAAAGTTTGCACTTGCTAGCTACGTGGGCACAGCCCACACACTCAAACACCCCCACTCACACCAGCACCCACAAACACGCACACAGATGCACGGGAAAATGCAGGGAAGATAGACACCCTCTGTGGCACGTTTGACAATTTAATGGTGTTGAGGTTATTTATACAATACGCTCGCTGCAAGTCCTCAAATATTCAGTGACCGGCAGCCAATGACGTGTCCGGCAGTCGATTAAAGTACCATTTTTATGGTTTAAACTAGCGATAAAGTGCTTGAGATTTCCCTGCCAACTGGACTTTTCTTAGGGGTACGACACTTGCTTATTTTTAATAAGTGACTCAATATGGCATATCTGTACAATATATGTTATGTTCTATTTTATAAATTACCTTTTTTTCTCTGGGTTGCCATGACTTTTATAAATGAATCAAATCTCTTACTCGAAATTTAAGCAAGTGTCATATGGTCATGAAAGGAATAAGCTGGAATATTAAGATAGTTTTATTGGGGAAAGTACCCATTTGAAACAAAGAGAAACCTTTCACGTGAGTATTTACCTTGTCTTTAACAACTTATTTTCAGATAAGATAACTAAAAACACAAGAGCTGTTTGATATGGCTGAAGTAATAATATACCTTACAATTCTGTTTTTGGTTTACCAAAAATTACAAATTTTAATTAAACACTTGTTTAAGTAAAACATGTAGTATTTGATTTAACTTGATGGTATAAGCTAGAACATCTAGAACATTATTTAACCTCATCCTCATTCACAAATTATCCTAGCAAATGGCTAAGCCATGTTGCAATTGCATTTCAGTCACTCCCCAAAGGACGACGATTGACAAGACAGCTTGCAAAGTGCCTCATCAGTACATGGGTTCCAGGGCGGCTAAAGATACTCGTACTCGCAGATGGAGTATCTGTATCTCGATTGCAGCTAACCAGCGCATTACTCTTGGCCGTTACAGTTTATGGCCTTTAATTTAATTTCTGTCTGAATGGGAAAAGCGTTCTGAATTAACGATCTGTTTGGCCACATAAAGGCGATTACTGGCAGATACGCGGATATTGGATGGGATTTTGCGAGTTATAGCGTTTTAAATACCAGTAGCTGGTCGTCAATTAAGTATGAAAATCATCCAGCGTTATTCCGTAACATTGTGAAAACATGACGAAAACTAAAGAGCCATGATACGCATACGCAATAAAATGAATTCCAACATTTGATTAGCCGGGGATATTGGATATTGTGACGAGTTGGCTATATAATGAACGTCCTGGTGGAATGCAGTTGCGCCCCATAAATCAGCAACATGGGAAATTACAAAACGAAAATGATGTTGACTACGTGGAATGCAAATGAAATGACCTGCATGACATGCAAAGGCGGAATGCAAGGTTGCTAATAAATAAAAACATACGATTTTCGGTTTTCGGGGCACCGAGAGAGTATTTACATAATTCTGATTATTTTCGCTGGTTGTGGATGCGAGCAGGGTCCTTAGCCCGAATAACATTTGCAGTTGGAATTCGGCATTCGGGTTGTTTTCGATTGTGGTTCCGTTCTGGGGCGAAACTGTTTGGCATTATGGAAATTTCCGTTTGTCATTTTGGGGCGCGAAGTGTCTACATGCAAATTGAGTTGCAACAAGCAGATAGCCCCTCCATTCGACATTGTTTGTTTGGTTTGCATTTGGCAAATGCAATCTTAACAGGGCTTCCTGGCTGTCTGTCTGCCAATACATTAAATTGCAATTTTAATTTGTTTAGCATGCGGCATTGCCGAATGGAGAACAGCAAACAGCCATTCTTGCATCTGCACCACATGGCGTATGCGTTATAATCAGACAAACTCGTACGTCCATGCATATATGCACTCTACGCCCCTGTCTGCATTTTTAATACTGCCATTCCACCTGCAGCTGTGCCCCAGGCAAACTGCCGGAGATACTTTGGCATTAAAAATTTAAACAACATTGCAGCAAGGGGCGGGCACAAAAATGGATTTCGGACATGGTATCCAAAACAAAATACATTTTAAGCTACTCCCTTTTCGCAATCGGTTCGCCTATTTTTGCCGAACTGCCTTGGGACTGTATTAAATATTCTATAGACTGTTATAGTCCCCAGATATATGCAAATTAAATGTCTTTTAATTCGGCTTCGCCCAGACGGGTTAATAAATATTCCCTTTCAGTCGGCCAAACATAAATTCTGAAATTTTGGTAACAGGCCAACAGCGAAACATAATGTTCAACAAAGTATCTGTAAGATATAGCTGGGGCAGAAGAAATCAGGAAACGTGAAATATTTACATAATTACTTGACAACCAGATAAATGATCAAATTCTGGCCAAATCCCATTGAAGAGCCCGAGTGCAGAGAGTAGAGTACAGAGACCCCGTGATGAGGCAGAGTCGAGGAATTCGCAACGTCAACTGAAGTGAATATCAACGAACGACCTTCAACATGAAATGCGACGTAAAATAAATTTATCTCAATTATATATAAGCAACTAGATCTATATATACGTATATGTCCGTCTCTCTGGGGAAAATCGGACGGATTCGCGAGTAACTTTCAAGACGGCCAGTGAGAGATTCTTTCGGGTTTGCCTGCCTGTTTGCTTTACATTCACCTTGGCAGCGCAGTACGAAAAATCCAAAGCGAAATACAGATTTATTTTTGAATATTTTCGGTTAGCAGCGGCGTAAAAAAGAAATGAGAAATGATTTCCACCCACCGAGAGTCCTCCCTACAATGAACGTCTCATTAATGTCATATTTAAGCATTTTAGAAACACGTTTGTGATTTGTTTATACAAAAAGGAATACTACATTAAATTTAATTAGCCATCATAAATCCTTTAAAGACATTACCGAAATGAACCTCTTATTAAAAATATTAAACAGACTCTTTAATAAATCTGTAAAATATATAAAAAGAAGTAGTTTTGAACGAAAATAGCCCCATTATTTATCAATAGAAACATATTTTTCATTTCTTCTACCATTATCTTCACTGTATGCAGCAGAAATGTTCTTCATACAGAAATATGTATATTTCCTTCATCTAATGACGCCACAATCAGGCGATGGCCAGCATTTTATGCAGATTTCTTGTTTAAATATTTACACAATATCGGCGTGCTTTCGCTGCCTTTAGAGCAAACAACATGAGCTGAAATATGTATAAAAACGAACTACATTTAAAATATATAATGGCAACTGCTTGTTTGATTTATTTGACTAGAGTTTATGTAAACAACGCGTAGAAAAACATAAAAATATTTTTTATAAAAAACCCAGTGTTTGGTTTTCCCTGCGGTTTGGCAATTTCCGCTGCAAATGATTTTTTCATTTCCTCTCCGGTTAAAGTGTCTTTTTTCCCCGAAAGATTTGCCTTAATTGGCCAGACAAACTGTGGAAAGGAAATTGAGAAATCAGCTTATGCGCCATGAGCACATAATTCAGCTGAGACAAACTCAAGATACTCGTATACCCATCTGCACACCAGAAAAAAGGTTGGCCAATCGGTCAGGTTGCCACCTTTGCCACAGGTAGACACAAGTATTTCCGTTTGTTGTTATTTGCCAATTTGGGAGGAAAGTGCCTGGGCAAACAGGCTGGCAAAACGAGACGTGAAACCCTTTTTTCCTGCGGATTGGATGGCACTAAATCAGGAGGCTCTGTGGGGGCTTTTCCCCCATGTCTCCTCGTGTTACGCGTTCTTGTCGAAGCTTTTTCTGTTTTCCCGTTCCGGGTTCTTTTCATTTTTGGAATTGCCCGACGCTCGACATTTTTCATGCTACGAGGATTTCTTCCCCGAACCCATTTCCGGTTGGCCCAACTACTTGACACTTCCTTTTCCCTTTGAAAGCCGGGGTTTTTGTCTTTGGCTGCCTAAACCACTGTGGATACAGTTACCACAGTTTTCCAACGCTCATCGGGTGTGACATTTATCCCTCATCGTCTGCTCTTCCCTTTGACTTTCATTTCAGCTTTAATGCAGAAAAAAGGGAATATATATATATAGTATTTGGCCCTCTTTTGTTTTATGCCTGAAATTTATTGTTTCTGACAATGGAAACGGCGTCGCAAATGTTTCCTGATCACAGTGCGCCTTATCTGGGCCCCATTTTTGTGTTTTTCTGTTTTGGGCACGCCCCCACTTTTCCGCACTTTTCCGCACTTGCAACCGTCATGGCCGTATTTTATTGAAATTCATGTATTTTTAAAAGCCCACTGCCCCCGGGATGCGGCTCTAAATCGTTTAAGCATTTGTTTCCACCATTCACAGCTTGATTTCGCCAGATCCATTCGCTTGTTTTTTATCTGTGCATAAAAGTTAATGTTTTGCATCGGCATCAGTATCATGGGCCGAAAATGTTTATTGTTTTGGCCCTTTATTAAAGCGTAGTTAACTGCTGATAACTTCAATGGCCAAAAGGGAAAAGGAGAGGGTCGAAAACAGCTGTTAAGCCATAGATTTGTGTTGATTTGATTTGTCTATTTGCAATTTGGCTTTGGGGGGATTTTCAGAGGAAGGCAATGTAAAGAGTTATTGGCTTAATCTTTGGCAAGGGAAAAACAATAATTACATTTATCAGGGCTGTATTTCTGTATAGATAACCGTCGAAAACGACACCCTTATCACCGGTGATACACAACACGCATACGCAGCGTTGACTGCTATCTGAGTTTTTCGATTTTTGCAGCAGTTTGTAGACTTACCACCTTCCGGCTCTGAATCATCTATATAGATCATATTGCTGCGTCGCTTAACGCCGATTTCCCTCAAACGTTGACCCGTTGTGCAGCTGCTGGTTGTACCAAACTTTCCACAGAACTTTGATTAAACGTATTCCTCGATGTTTGCTGTTTATAACTTTGTTTTTGATTTTCCCACAATACTTAATGGCATCTATTTATAATTACTCATCACTGAACATTTTGCGTATTAACTTCACTTCACTTATGGCACGATTTTCAAAATTATTTGGTTTTGCGCACTTAAAAAATGGCACAAAAGAACGATTCTTTATTTATAGCTGGTCGACCGCGCACCACGTTGCGTATGCTTGATATTAGCGCAAAATTCCTTCGCCAGCGCCACTATTTTTCTATTGTGTCATCGCGAGCGAGCGTTTTGCCTCAAACTGTTTTGGCCTGGCCGCACATTATTTGATTTGAGCTGTTTTCGCTGCCGTTTCGGCCGTTTCGACCGTTTCTGCCTTTTGCCAATGGGGCGTATGTGTGTTCCTTTGTGGTTATAAATGTGCTTTCGGCTGATAACTGCCGCACTGAGAGAAATGCTCGATCGACTCTCTCGGCAACGTATCTATAAATAAACAAACACAGGCACAAACATATAGGGGGCAAACCTCAGCTGCATATACACACACTGCTATTTGTATTGGCGTTTGTCTGTTTCGTTTCGTATAAAAATAAATTGCAGAGCAATTTGTTGCTCCGCTCTTTTTCTGGCTTGTCGCTCATTTTGCGGCTTGTTTTTGTACGCGAATGAAATTATTTTCCCTGTTGTCGTTTAGCACATTTTCTACACTTTTCCGATTTTCTTTTTGGCAACAGAACAACACTGGTGTGGGTTTTTATATTTGCCAACCTATCCGTACTATATAGTCTTCTATGTGGCTGCTTCCTACTCACAGTTTGTCATTTTTTCGCAACTTGTTGCTGCTTTTTGTCTTCTTTTGGCAGACCAAATTCTTGGCCACAAGCATATTAAACCAATTATCTTATAATCCCTCCGCTGATAGAAATAAGATTTGCTTTTAAAGTATGACTACAATGGTAGCAAGATAAAAACAAATGATTGATAACTCTTTAATAGTGCTATAAATACACATACATCCTCTGTTGAAATCAAAGTTCTTTATCAAGTGTAACCAAACCGATTGGGCACTTGTTATTACCCAAAATTGTAAGAACATTTCAAACTGCTGAGTAAAGTTCTAAAATTGAACATTATTTTTCGGAAATAGCAGCTGAAATCATTTCCGTAATTTGTGTACTTATAGTATTTCAATAAACCCAACTAGAAATCACTGGCATTCCCATCTCGCGGCATCTCACCCAATTAGTTGGCATTCCAAATTCTCTGGCATCCCATAATCTTGGCAAATCACTCATTAAACATTCCCCAAGCAAATGCATGCATTCCCATTATATCTTCTACAAGTGTGAACTATAAATAATGGCAAAGCTGGTAATTATCTAGCCTCGTTATTAAATTACGCTCGTCTATATTTATATGGGTTACCGGTACGTAGACCCCGTCTTCCCCGTAACCGTAGACTGTCTTCCTATCTTATCAAGCGGAAGAAAGCCATTGGACTTGACGCGACGACAGCGAAAATGGGAGAATAAAGTGCCATGCGTCATGGTCACACATGCAGACAAGTATAAATAGAAGTGGAGACCACTTACACAGTGGGAAATATGCTACCAAAACTGGAGTGTCTTGATTAGCTTTTTAATCCTATATCAACTTTCTTAAAATTTCCTTTTGTTGCTTATATAGTCTGAAAAATTAAGAACGGAAAAAACCAGGATTAAATGATCTTAATTTGAGAATTTGTCTTCTTACTTATTCAAGAAGAAATGTTCTTAATATCAAGACAAAAGTGCTCTTTGAGAAAAGTTGTATTCATTTTGTTTTTCATGAATACAAGTACACTCTATCACGACTTTAGGTGTAGAATCTTTTGCAAAATCTAAACATTTCTTTCCAGATAGTTGTATGTTATTAAAATGCCTGTCATATGATATGACATTTTTTCCCTGTGTGCTTTCTAGGCTGTCCGTCTAATTGGTGTGTGAATGGAGTGGGAGCGGGGGAACTTAAATCGTTTTTAGACTACCAGTGGTCCGCTGCCCGTCTGCCTTATAAACAATAACAATGGCTGAGCCGCCAGCGAACAAACCGAAGCCTTGGCCATAAAATTACGTATACGAGCAGTTGGCAGCTGCAGCCATAGAACTTCCCACTTTCCACCATCCACTGGCCAGTGGGATCCACCGCTCTATACGCCGTATACGCTATATCCAGTCCAGTCCACTCCTCCCGCCGATTCGGTCAGTCGCCTTCGCCGGCAGCAGAGCCAAAGGCAAATAAACAAAACGCCTGCCAGGTCGAGCCACTTGATGCGAACGTGCCCAGACAACGGTGTGTGGTTGGGAAACGTGTTCTGGGAACTCCCCCAATCCCATCCCAATTCCATTTCCATTCTCATGCCATGGTACACCATCACCATCGCCATCCCACGGTTGACCACTCCAACCTGCCGGACTTTAAAGTTTTCGGCCAGGGCCCAAGACAAACAGACTGGCCGGCGAACTAAGCTGCGTTTTGATTTGCACACGGCCATCTGACCAAGGGCTGTTGGCCAAAAATTGGTTTGGGCCCCGAATTCTACCGGCTTTCACGTCACGGGCTTCCGCCTTTGGCTGCGCTCTGAATAATGCAAATCCCTTAAATGCGCTAAACGCAGCTGGCGGTCGCTCCTCCCGATTTTTTCCGGTGGGTTCCGATTGAAAATGGCAATGATGGCACGTTTTGTTTTGAATTCTTCCCTGTCTTGGGGTCTTATTACTATCCCTACTCTTATGTTAGGAAAAATCTAATATATATAGGAATAAGATATTTGATAGAATTCTTGTATCTACAAAAAGTTCAGAGCTGACTTTTTAACCGAAAGTGAAAAACGCATCATGCCTGAACCCAATTTTCACTTTTTTAACTAGTGTGGTTTATTTCAAATTATACTTTGGAAGCAATGAGATTTATTTTTATTTGTGCGTTTTCAACTAACTATATAAATCACGATTTTTTCGGACCCTTTTTATTATATTCAGATATCAGGCAAAAGGGGATTGGAATTTCTCCACTCGATAAAGAAAAGTTTTCACTACAATTCCGTTGATTTGTTGTTGTTTTATTTGTCGTTGTCACTGCAGCTTATGTTGTTCGCTTTTGTTTTTGTGTTAGGTGTTGGTTTTGCTGCTGGTTTTCCGCTTTCACACCCTGCCGACCAGGTGAAAAGGCAACTGTTATTGGGGAATGATTTTTTACACCTCCACAACTTCTGTTGGTTGTTTGGGGAGCCCCAAATTGTTTAGATGTTCCGAAACAGCTATATATTTTCAGCATGTTTGTCTATTTTGCACTACCATTTTCTTTTTTTTTGCGCGCCGAAAACTTTTCACCTTACAAATGTTTGCGTATCATTGCGAAAGTTCCCATTCCGTGTGATATTTTGGAAAATTGACAAATTCTGGCACTCGACACAAGTCGCCTTCTCGCTCGTTCATTGCACACGCAACTGGTTCGGTATGTTTGAAAATATTTTTCAATTTCAGTCTAGTTTTGGTGGAAATTTTTGGCTCTCGGCAACGCCTTGTTGCGCTATTTTCGTGCCGCTTTTGGTTCCCGTTCGTTTCGAAATCATTTTTCCCCGATTTCCGTCGAGTTTTCCGCGGCGCAACATGAAGTCAATGTGTTTACCTCGCTAAACTTCTTTGCGTGCTAATAATAAACCAGCAAACAACAAGCGGCAACAACCAACAATCGACATTCGGACATCGCAACTGCAACAACGCAGCATTGGTCCATTAGCCCCGTTTTCCAATTTCAATTTTCCATTTTCCGAGTGTGGGAGGTGCGTGGGGTATCTTCCCTGGGCATTACGTGAGGAGAGGCATAAAATAAGAATTAGGGTAAAAATTAAGAAGCCAGCTCATCACTTAGCTGATTAAATACCACATTTTCTCGTTACGAAAGGATTTTGAAAAACACTATTCGAAAAGTGTAGGATTTAACATATTTTGCTTTAAACAAGTATTAAAAGCAGTGTCAATAAATGTTTATTAATAATAATTTAAAACAATTTTTTTTTGTGTGCACCTATCAATTAAATCTAATAAAGATAGAATCGTTTAATTATTAATCGTTCTGTTTAATCTTACTCAAATCACTATACACAGTGCATAATGAAAAGATAACATCTTATGATGTTTGCACGTGCGAATAATCGGTAATAAAAAGGTATAAAAACCAAGGCAGCGAAATAAGTATCGCTTTTTAAATTTATAAAACCAAAAAACTGTGCAACTATGTCCTTAAAATTTGTGGAAGTCCTTCTGCTCCTGTCCATCGCCACTTTGGTAGGTACAGTCCAAAAACTTAGATCCAGTTTCTAAAAGGACTTATCCTTTAGGGACTTGTACGAGCTAATTTGGAAGTTCGAATGGAATCTGTTGAAAAAATTGTGGGTGACGAGGAAACACTGGTTGATTTCGACGTTCGTTTGCTTGGACGGGAACGCTTACTAAATGGGACAGTTAAAGTACTCGTTGATTTGGATAACGAAGTCGAATTTGCCCACGAAATATTCGCCCATCGAAATGGAGAATGGGTGCCTTCCAGTATTGGTGTTCGCTATAAGACCTGCATGTACATGTCTGTTATTTACGACAAGTATTTTTTGCCATTCCTCAAGGACTCGGACCTTCCAAGAGGTAAAGATGCCTGTCCATTGAAAAAGGGCAATTACTACTTAAGAAATGTAGAGGTAACTGCCGAGAATTGGGCTCATTATGCCAGGATGGGCTTGGTCAAATCAGTACTCATCATTAGAAAAAATAACATAACATATGGAGGCGTAATTTTTATCTTAGTTTTACAAGAGAAAGTTTTCTAACAAGGCTACCAGCATATCATTCCCCCGAGATAAATTTACATAAATTTTAAAAATAAATTTGATCGGTTAAATGCTGATTAGTGGCTTTAATGTTACATCTTTTAAGGTTATGCTGTCACTGAATTTTTTGATCTATAAATCTATATATACAATTTTTGAGTGTTGATATTCCATGTTCATGAATGAAACAATAAAATTATGATTCATTCTCTCTTGCTTACATTAATTCGGGTGTTGATAATGATCAATATTATATGTACCTTATAGAACCACATGAGAATTCTGCAAAAGTTTAAAAGGCGTGACGCAAATATATTAATAAAGCAAATTTGTCGATTTCTTTTCGTTTTGCATATGACATAGAAACATAAGGAAAAGAACAGCAAATTTAAATTCGGATTCTTGTATTCCATTCTGTATTCGAATTTCTCGACATCGGCCTTGCGGTCTGCATTCCACCGCCTAACCGACCGAAATAAAATTAGCCATCGTTTCAAATCAATTTGCTGGTCTTTCTTCTTGGCTCTCAAGATCCAGTTTTCCGTCTTCAGCTGCCATGATCGCATAAATTCGTTGTAGGTCATTAATGGGAAATATGCAGAGCATGCTGACAAATGGCTAAATAAATTATTTAATTCGAAGCGATGGTAGTGCGCCCGAATTATCTGCTATATGGATGCTATATAGTTTTCGCTTTGTTCTGACTCCTGAGGTCGCCGGCGTGTCGTTGACTGTTCATCTTTTCTCGCTGGCGCCGCAGCTAATGACATTCCCCATCCGAACGCATATATTTTGGGGTCTGTGGATATATTTTGCCATTAAAAATAAGCGGCAGTTGGCCCTTACACGACTCGTTGACAGGCGGAGATCAATGTTGTGGGGGAACCAGACAGACCTTGCTGCATGAACTTGTGACAATGTGGAGCAATGACTCGGATTCTTTTGCATTTCACCACTTGTACCTGTTGTCTTTTGCATACTTATGTGTCTATAGATACATATGTATCTGTATCTGTATCTGTATCTGAATACTGTGCTGTCTTTTGTGGACTTCCGGCGAGACGTGTTTACGTCTAACTGGTCGACCGCGTAAACAAATGCACAGGTGAGTGGTATTTATAGCCCGAATACGGCCTATTTCGATGGGATTGGATAGAATTGGTTGGGATTGGTGGCGTCAGTGATGCGGGACTTCGTCTGCTTGATTTGCGATGGCTTGTAAATACATTTAATTGGCAGCTGAGTGCCTCGTTTATTATAAAAGAAACATGCAGATTTATTTCTGGCGTTTCGAACTGTCAAAGGCAAATGGACTGGGGATTGGCGAACTGTGGAATGAAGATGGAGAAGTTTTGTGGCTAACCGCAAAACAATTAATTTTGATTGCCTTTTAAACCCTTTGAGGGAGGAACAGAGGAACGTGCGTCGAACACTCGACTTTCTAATCCGTTCCGGCAAGTTTTGTATCTCGGCACGTACGCTCCTCCGCCACGCCCACTTTTCACTCCGTGGGCGAACTTCCCTTTGCCATTTCCACCTGGCTTTCCCCGGACTCAGCTGAGCTGTCATGAATTGCTGGGAATTTATTTTGCCGCAAGGAATGGTTTTTGATGCTGTTTGGGGATTTGTTTGGGCCAAGAACTTTGTTTATTTGCCTTCGATTTAACTTAAAGTCTCATTTCATTGATGGAAATTTCGCATTGTTTAAAAGGGAAGATGCCTCAGCACATTGGCATGCGAAAATAAATATTTAAAGATTGCCACTTCCAGTTGATGGCGTCATTTGAACGGGCCGAGCGAAAATTCGACGGAGCAGTCGAGGGAAAATAAAAAAGGGAATTGAATGCAGCGCCCAAAAGTCGGCCATGAAAATGGTTTCAGCGGGAAAAACAAAATACAGGGAATATGAAATGTAAGAAAATTTGGCTGAAAACCCATGCGAGAGGAAGAGAGATTTTTAAAAGCTTTTAATTGGTAAATTCATTACTGCATATAAACCTGCCGCTAACCGAATTATGCAATATATTTCAGATTTCCTGCAATCTGCCCATCTGGTTGGTTTAAAAAATAATTTTCCAGATCGTTTGAAGGGTTTTAAGCACCTTGCTCGATGCCGCATTATTAAGCAAGCTGGCGGTTTGAAATAATAGAACCAACATGCAATTTGGGGCGAGTGCAGCAGCGCAACAGCCATAAATTTAATGCAAGACAAACAATATGACGTCTAAAAGGGGGCTGGTGCCAGGGGAAAAAAATCTCATCAACGAGCTGGGGCAAAACGAGAAGAAATATTGAATGCAATTTTATTTGCCACACACTGTACAACGCCACCAAAGCAGCAAAGCAGCAAAGCGTTTGGCGAACTGCCGGGTGAATTATGGAAATGCATCATATTATTCCGCAGCCTCTGCTCCTGCAGCAGGATAACCTCCTGCAGGATGGCCTCCTGCAGGATAACCTGCTGCGGAATGTGTGAGAGCGTGCGTGTAACTATGCTACTTACTGTCTGTTTGCTTTGGGGACTGCCACTGCCAGACGCACTCAGATGAACTGGGAGAAAATCGAAGAAAATCTATAAAAGAATTTCACTTTTATTATATCTTCACATATTGTCTTGGGCTTTGATCCATAAAATAAATAGGTTACAAATTTAAATTAATTGGAGAATAATTTGCGCTTGATTTAGAGGTCTTAGTCTCGTATTTTCTTATATACCAAGAAAATCTATGATGGAATTATATTTGTATTTGTAACACCAATCTTTGAAGGAATTTTATTTGTAGTTTTCACAAATTATTTTTAATAAACCAAATCTATAAATTATATAATAATAAATCAATTGGGTTATGTTAGTATCGGATTTTGGGTACTTGATATATCTGATATCAAGAAGAAATTTTATTTGCATTTTATTTAAAACATATTAAATCTATATATATATATTTTCAGCGGATTTTATATACATGGATAAATCACATATCAACACATATTTAATCTATAAAATATATAAGAACTAATCAACCGGGATATGTTAGTATGGGATTTTATATACAGAGGAATATTAAATATTAAGAATTAATTTATCTTTAATTGATACAATTTGTATAACTCTTATTATCTAAATATCCTTAGTTTTGACATAAGATATGATACTTCTAACATATAAAAGTAAATAAATTACAAATTAAATGATATATTGTTTCCCAGTATTTTCAGTGAGTATTGCTAAGCGCCACAACAAGAAGATATAGTATGAAAAAAAAGAAATCCTATATCCACCCCAACGTGGCCCGAGAACAGGGAGAATGGAGCCAGGCGCGACTTTAAGGGTGCTTCCCCGCCGAACTGCGGCTCCTCGCCAACCGCATGCAACTTGATAAAAGACGCAGTCATGGCAACCCACCTGCCACTAAATGAGTTAACGTGCAGGTATGTGGGAACCCCCTTCCCCGCCAAACCTCCTCTGAAAACCTCCTCTGATGTTTGTTTGTTTGGCTTTGCCTGTTTACGTGCAGTCATGCGAGACTCCGGCCCAAACCACGATTTTTCAGCTGATGCTGGAAGCTGCTTGGATTGTTGTCTGTCGCCAAAGGACCAGCTATCCCAGCTATCCCAGCCATCCACCCTTCACTCTACCTCATCAGAATCCATTCTAAGATTTTTGATTTAATTCCGCTTTTGTTTGGCAAGTCGGTTACTGCTCATGCCATGTGTATCTAGAGTTTGGATTGCCCAGACAAATTTGTTTGTGCCCGTCAAAAGGCTGACTCTGCCGGGGACATATGAACATGTGAAGGATCCTCTTGGACTGTCTAGCTTTTGTATCGCAGTTAAAGTGGAGGAGCCCGCAAAAGGAAGGTCCTTTCTATAGTTGTCCAATCAAATGCCTTGGGCAGCAACTCTAAATTTAAATAAATTGCCCAAATAATAACAAAAGCTTGCGCTTTTAAAGTTTTCACTCTGTTAAAATGTATACAAATTGCTTGGCATGCTGACAATTTTCAAAGTGCAAGCCACATTGCTTGCATTTTAGTATAAAAACGGAAACAAATTAAATAAAAGTTATCCAATCAATTGGAATAAGCCTGACGCTCCGGCAAAATAATTGAAATATAAACAAATTACTGCACAGAAAGAAATCAAATGTATTGATTTTGGTAAAATAAGATATTATGAAAAGAAAGAATTATAAGCTATGAAAAATGGAAAACGGCAAATTGTTTTCTTAGATTTTTGAGAAGAAAAGTTCTTGATATCAAGACAAAAGAGCACAGAAGTTTGTTTTTTGATATGAAGAGATCTTAAATTTCGAGAGAAAAGTAATTTTAAAAATCAACAACAATTAATATTGAACTTTGTTGTTATAGATTAAATTGACTTACTTCTGAGACCTAGAGAAAAGTCATTTTTCTGAGTGTGGTAAATAAATGCAATAAAGAAAACCGTTCCGAAAACAATTGGTTTTTCCTAGGTGTAAGTATAAACCAATGTCCAATCGAAAGCCAGAGTTATTGAAATATATTGATAACGACAGGTAACCAATGTCAACCGATTTGCTGGCTAAACTGGAATGTTCCAAATCAAATTACGCACGCTGCATTGGGCAGCACGAAAATATCCGCAAATGTGCAGCAGTTTGTGGCCATAAAAGAGCCCGAAGAGTAAGTGGCAAAACAATGGCTGGCGCAGCACAAATCAAATCAGGGAAAATTAGTCGTAATTCAATTGCCGACAGTCGCCGTCTGGATCGTTTCCCTCCCCCATACCTTCCACATGTTTGGGTCCTAATCCCCTTAGGGAACTTGGCGAAAACTTGTTGATAGCGTTTCCATGTGGCAAGGGGACAGCCTTCGACCCCACGCAACTCATATAGCCACATATACATCCTACACACAACTTGTGCGGACAACCTCCAGGTGTATCTATGCGCTGGCTGACAAATATTTGACGTTTTAGTCTAATTAAATTAGCCACAACGCCGCTCGGCCTTCGGGAAAGGTATAAATTTCTGCGCGGTAGTCGCAGCGTGTAAATTTCGCAGGTGGCACACGTTCGCGGTGCGTCGCGGGTTGTAACTCGGCGGGTTTTCCACTCATGAACTAAAAGAAAAATAAAATTATATAAAATAAAATACCAGAACACATTGTACAGTGACTCCTTCGGTGCCTTAACAACGTATTGTTGTAAAATATCATATACTCATATCCTTAGTCCCTCACCTAAGCCGGTCACATGAAATTTCAACGTCCATTGTGCCAGCGAGTTGAACAATTGCACACGTTTTTATGTGCCGGAATGCAAGAAGTACGTATCCGTACGGTTGGTTATAAGTGGCTTAAGTGCAGTCCGTGAGCCAACTGAATTATGTAGTTATATTCTTCATTCATTGTGCTCCCGTTCCTGTTCCTGATCCTGCTCCTGTTCCCGCTCCTGTTCCCGCTCCTGTTCCCGCTCCTGCTCCCCGGATTGTAAAGTTTGTGACTGTGTGTGCCGGGTTTTGTGGTCTGTGACTACTGCAGATTTCGCTTAAACTTGGCTGCCATCCTGATAAGCTCTTAGTTTTTATGAACTCTATAAACTATTCCAAATTTGTTTAAGTTTTAATGAACTACAGTTCTCTTGTGACAGAATTATGATACATCGATTGCGACATTTTAATATGCATGGTGTGCAGAAAGAGAAATATCGGGAGCTACTACCATTAGGATGATATCATTCATAACAGTCAGGGAGAGGATATTCAGGACCCGATACCAAAAATCAGAGCCCAATACCATAAGGATGATATCATTTATAACAGTCAGAAAGAGGATATTCAGTACCTGATAGGGATAATATCAATCATATCAATGGATACAAAGTACAACTTATACGACATTAATCCCAAAATCTTTGGATGTATGGAATTATCTCATCATATTATGTTGCAAAGGTGCAAAAGTTTTAATTTTTTTCAGTGTCACCCCGATATTATTCACATTTTTCTCTGTGCATCTCCTTCAGGGCAACAGCTATAAATCCATTTGTAAACGCTTCCCATGAACTGGTAGATAAAACCGAATTTATTGTGACATTTTTATGTCCGTCTGTATTTTCACCTGTCGCCCGCACTTATATTTCTATTAAGTTAATTAAACAATGCACCATCGGCGGCCACTGTGGCAGCCAGAACAAGCTTTTGTCCGGCCCGGAAGTGGTTTTTTCCCCTTTTTGTATGGAAGAACCCCCCTGATGGGTTCCTGTTTTTTCTCACCGCATATGCAAAGCACTTGCATTTTTTATGACCAGCCCAAACACTTTTAAATGCATCTGCAGCATCCGCATCCGCAGGAGCATAAAGCCAGTTTAAAGCAAAAGCATGTAGACAGGGTTTATTTTTTCCTTGCGGATTACCGATTGGTGGCCGCTGCCCAAAAAAGTACCTTAAATATTCATTTCGGCATTGTTCACACATGCGGAGAGGAGCAGCGGAAAATATAAAAATATTTTGTTTTGGAGAACAAAGAACCGCTGAAAATTATTTCTAATGGCAAACCGATTGGCGGTGATGTAAACAATCCCCTGAGAGCCACAAAAATTAATAAAAATTTCAGTCGGCCGTGGAAAATGAGGGAAATGCAAGTGCAATTAATTTCCATGCAGAGAATGTGAATGCAAACAGAAAAAGTGATTGAATAATGAACCATAAGTGGTGAAATGAGTGCTCTCAAAAATCAAATTAGTGCTGCCGTTGAATTTCGTCCGGATAGTCAGGAAATAGTGAACACAGTTCCCCCAATCAAGTCACAAAATTGCCAAAAACTTAAATCTTTTCCCCTGCAGTTGGCACTTAAAAAGGGCTTAGACAGCTTGGCCAACGAATAATAAAAAAAAACATTATAAACAGCTTAAATAGAAACTTTTTGCACGCCGGACACCAGAAACCAGAAACCATAAACCAAGTCAAAAACCAGCAGACACACACAGACCCAGTTGGACATAACTATAAAAGCAAAATCAACTCGAAAGTTGCATTTGGCCAGGCTTAGTATTGGACTTTTTTGGCTTAGCCATTGTGTGTATAAATATATAAAGGTTATATGTAAATATCGTGCAGTTCTTTCAATGCCCGTGTGCTAAGCCCGGCGACATGGAGCCGGCGCTTTGAACTCTGAACCCGGGACACAGTACATGGAATATTAATTACACTCGGTTTTGTGTTAAGTGAAGTGTTTAAAATCCCACAATGGGTCGCAAAAAGAAGCTGCCAACGGGCGTAAGTAGAAAGCCGGAAGTAGCACCTCTTAAAGAGGCGATGCCAGCATTAGCTTAAGCCCAAACGACGCTTTCTTAAACGCTGCCAGGCCATTTAGATGGAAGCCAGACAATCAGCATCCCAGCATCCTCCACTTTGCACTTAATTTTCTTGTATGTTTATTTTTTATTTATTTGCAATTCCACATACACGATTTCCCCGCCACATATCCCCATATATACATATATGTACTCACCCACACGTCTGTTTAAAATATGCCAGGTATCGTCTGGCGGCAACAACACCTCCGCCCCCAAATCGGTGGGCGGGTGCTGTGTGCCGCTGGGATTACCGCAACCTCTGCTGCTCGAGGAGAAGAAGTTCCTGCTGGCCGTGGAGCGGGGCGACATGCCGAATGTGCGCAGGTGAGTAGGGCTTTTTACGCCTCCGATACCCAGCGGGAGGGCCGGTTCGGGTAGTATCGGATCCTGAGCGGAAGGGGTGCACTTGGAGAAATGGGGTCAACTTCTGATCATTTTGGGTTCAAAAATGTGTTCCTTAAGAAATAATATCATCTTTGGGAGATCGTCTTAGTAATCACTTCAAAAGTGTAACCTTTGATTCAAAGAAATATTATAAAGTTATAGATCTTAACATTTAAGATGTTCTTGGGGTCGGTTCTTGGATATACGAGATCAAGACCAGACAGGAGCCCCATTCGAATGATACAACATTTTAATAGTGTCAATTTAGTGGGTTTTGCAGTGCGTTGATTCTTAATTTCAAGTAGGAAGCTTTATATATATCTGTGTGGACGGCAGTACACGTAGTGACGAAGCGCACAAGGAGAGTGATCGAAGGCGACTACTATACGACAACTAAGGGATTGCATACAAAGACTTTAAAACGAGAGAAATTTAGGAAGTTCATTTATGAAGTAGATAGATTTTCGTTACAAAATTTGATATTAGAACTTTTGTACGTTGAAGGTGCGATCGTCACTAGTTCTTTACCTCGTTAAGAGGTGCTTTTTTTTGATAAATAAATAAATAGAAGCGAAAAGATGTAATTAATAGAGTGTAAAATATATTGATGATTTACTTAAATTATAGGAGAAGGCACAGCAACATATGAAATAAATTTAGATAAGAAGCTGTTTTTCCTTTCATTTATATATGTAGGTATTCAAATTGAAATTGAAATTCTTGAATTATTTTAAAGTTTTAAACGTACTTTACATAGATTTTGAAATGATTTCAACTATATTTCTTCGAGTGATTGCATTTCACCCCTCGAATCTATAAACCCAAAGTTTTTCGAGCGGTATCTCGAGTTCCATAGGTGGCATCGCCAGGGAAACCCAGGTGTTGACTGGGTTGGGCCGCGCGGAAGGCACAAATCCCATCGGGAGCCTCCTTGGGATGTTTAAATGTGCTGTTGGTGGTGGTGGTTTCAATTATTTGCACACACGCCCTCCACCGCCTAAGGGCCTCAAAATGGTTACCTAACTTGCTTCCTGCAGGCCACTTAATAAGCAATATGAGGACTCCGACCCAGATACTTTACGCTCGTTTACGGCTTTACTTTAATAAATGTACAATTCATTTCGTTAACTGGCAATGAATTTGAGACAAAGCGCAGAATGTTATTACCTTTGCAAACTCATTCAAATACTTTTTGGTATTATGCAAAAAATAATTGTTAGAAGCCAATTATCTTGCTATATTCAAAATGTTACCATACAATTTTCGTTTTACAGACTTCAGGCAAAAGTCTTGTTTGGAATAGTAATGATTCTAAGCGATCAGGTCCTTAAAACAGAATAACTTAACAATCTTTGTTTCATCAAAGTTTCGTTTTTGTATTTAATCCAATGACTAATAGTCAGATTTGTATACCTCAAAAGGAAAAATAAGCCCAAAATTTTTCCCAAAAAAATAGCTACCCAGAAATCACACTCCTAACTTTGGTTGACATCCCAGGATGTCATTTATGAACAATTTTTTATTGTTTTCATGGTCTTGGCGAAACGCTGGCAACAAGCAAATGGATGGTGTGCGGTGTTCTTGAAGCTGTTGTGGTTCCCAATTCGGTTTGGAGGCATGCATGGTGTCGCCACAAACTCGCATCTTATGTGGAATGTGGTGCTGGTGCTGAGGCTAGTAGTGATGCTTATACTGACACGGTTACTGATACTGATGCTAATCCTAATGCTGGATCTGAGTGATTCTACATGGAAGTCCGAACACTGACAATGCAATAGGGATGGGGTTGTGAATGGGAATGTGGCGGCGATGATGGTGGTGGATAGGTGGTTTTGGGGACACTTAAAAGTTGATGAAGCGGTACGGGTTGTAGCTTTTCATCTCGTCCAGGGTGTATCGGTAGCGGATGCCCTTCGAGTGCTCCTCCTCGGATCCATTCGAGTCGTCCTCCTCCTCGCGGATCTCGTGCAGTCGCTCCACCCGGATGCCCTTCATTTGGCAGGCGCGGCGGTACAGCTGCTCCTCCCGATCCATGTAGAACTGGCACGAGATGGCTGGCTGGGGAACGGTCGGCGGATGGATCAGTGGATGACCGCCAAATGAAACCGCTCCTGCAGCATAGGCCCCTGGGGCAAACCAGTTGTTGGCCAGGCCGCCACCGGCCATCAGCTTTACAGTTTGGGTCTCTGTTAGGGTATATAAAATAGTGCCCTCTTATAGGAAAGTTCTCTGGTTGGTCTGGTGGAACCCAAACTCACCCTTGTTCTTCTGGGCCATTTTGATGACCAGGCTCTGACCCTCGGCGGCTTCCATTTGGTATCGATTTTGTCGAATCGCTGGGGCTTACGAATAATTTAATCGCCTAATGTTGGGAAGTGGTGTGTCACTGTAATCGCGTCTTGAAAAGCAGATTCCGTTTCTTCTTTGAATTTTGTACAACAATTTATGTTGACGAACGATCGTTAAATGAAAGATTTTCGCCCTGACTGACTGGCAGATGAAAACAAAATGTGACAGTTCGCCTCCAGGGTAACTAGATTTCGATTGAGAGCCAGGCAGTGTTGGAAAAATTATACAACTTAATTTAGGGATTTTTCCACCTTTTTCTCGCTTTTCTGGCAGCTGGCTAAACAGAGGCGATATGAGTTCCTTTTTTTTTGGTTTGGCAACCGATTGATTGGCAAAGTTTTTTGTTGGCCGCGGCCGCGATGTAATTAGAAACTTTGGCTCCAACTTTCGACTTGACATCGAGAATCGGGGCCGGACTGGGGGAACTTTGTCCGAAAATAAAGAAAAGGAAAAGTTACCGCGTGGGAGCTCGCTCCAATTAGCAGAAATGCCAGCCCCTTTATTAAGTAAATTCCAATAATTGCAGGATCCTGCAGAAGGCGCTGCGCCATCAGCACATCAACATCAACTGCATGGATCCCCTGGGGCGCAGGGCCCTCACCCTGGCGATAGACAATGAGAACCTGGAGATGGTCGAGCTGCTCGTCATCATGGGGGTGGAGACCAAGGACGCCCTGCTGCACGCCATCAATGCGGAGTTCGTCGAGGCCGTGGAGCTCCTGCTCGAGCACGAGGAGCTCATCTACAAGGAGGGCGAGCCCTACGTAAGTCCCAAGGCACCTGGAGAAATTACCTGTCACCTGTTAACTTAGGCATTTCAGAATTACAGATTTCGATTACCCTTGACATTTTTAGTTAGAATTGCAATCATGATACTATTCCTCGTAAATCTGAGATAAGCCCACGGTATTTATCCATCCTTCCAAACACGATATCATTTTTAATAAATGTTTTTGGTAACTGTTTGTAACTTATATTATAGCCTCGACTTCTAAAAATAAACATTTTATTCTTTGGCTTAAAGTTATGTATAGGTTTTTCTCCCAGTGTGTCCTTTGTTTTGTCTGCTGTGCTCAGCTAATTTGTGGCCCACATTATCGTCCGTAGGCGTTTAAGGCCCTGTAAGTTGAAGCTAACACGATTTTAATCAGTTTCCGTGTGAGGGGCGTTGGGTGTTTGGAGTGCCTGGAGTGTCTGGAGTGCCTGGAGTGCTCGTAGTGCTCGGAGTGTCCCACCCATCGGGATCATCTTCGCCATTGGGCACGTACTCGCAGCATCTCGACTGTCGAGTGATTGGGAGTGTGCGATAAGCGGCCAACGACCAAGAACCCCCCGGTCCACCCACTCCCCCGGATAATCCAGTACATCCTGGGCCATCCCGGTATAAGGTTTACGCTTATTGCAAATAAAGTCGTCTGGGCCTCCGTCGGGCTCATATTTATGCACACAGGCACGCTTCATTAGGCAGCCATTGGGCGCTGTTGGAGCGTGAAAATTACTATTGTAGCGCATATGCAATAAAACGTTTAACCGGCTTAATAACATCCACAAACGATGAAGACAACGCACTTCGAGTGGGTCCTTGAACGGTTCAAGGAATAATTTCAGGTCTTTTTGGGTGGGCATTAGGCGGAATTAATAAACTGTAGGGCAAATGAGAAAAATATTAGGAATGGTATCGGAACAAGTGTAAATTGATGATGTACTAGAGACTTGCACGAGTAGGTAAAAGTATATTCGATTACTATATTCTTCAGAACAAGATGAACCAATTTGGACATGAATTGTTCAAGGAAATAAGAACGCGAATTCTTCAGAACGACAGGAACCTATATAGACCATAATAAGGTTCTTGTTAGATTAAACCATTTCAAAGATAAACAAGAATAGTTCAACAAATTGAGGCCGCGAATTCTTTAGAAACCAATATTGAACATGATAACATACTTGTTAGTTATGGTTGTTAAAGCCATGTGAATTCTATAAAATCTCTGGCACCGTATCGTATCTAGTATTTTCTTACAGTGTGTGATTCATTAACTGATTTTAAATTTAAAGCTAAATATACAAATATTTTAATATGATCATAACATACACATTGTTTTTAAGTTTTAAGTCATTTTAATATTACAATTGTAACTTCCTTTTTCCAGAGTTGGCAAAAGGTGGACATCAATACGGCGATGTTTGCGCCGGATATCACACCTCTCATGCTGGCCGCCCACAAGAACAACTTTGAGATACTCCGCATTCTTTTGGATCGTGGGGCGGCCGTGCCAGTGCCACATGACATACGGTTAGCTGGGAAATAGATACCTGTATATTCTTACTTTTCATTCCGGATACATACCATCTCCCGCAGCTGCGGATGCGAGGAGTGCGTTCGCCTGACCACGGAGGACTCCTTGAGGCACTCCCTCTCCAGGGTGAACATCTACCGGGCACTGTGCAGTCCCTCGCTGATCTGCCTCACCTCCAACGACCCCATACTCACCGCCTTCCAGCTGTCCTGGGAACTGAGGAACCTGGCCCTAACCGAGCAGGAGTGCAAGTCGGAGTACATGGATCTGCGCAGGCAGTGCCAGAAGTTCGCCGTGGACCTGCTGGATCAGACGAGAACCTCCAGCGAGCTGGCCATCATCCTGAACTACGATCCGCAGATGTCGAGCTATGAGCCCGGGGACCGGATGAGCTTGACCCGCCTGGTGCAGGCCATTTCCTACAAGCAGAAGAAGGTATTTCCGGTACTCGCCTCCAGCATGGTTCTGTTGCTAAAATTTTTCATTTCCCGTTTGCGACAGTTCGTGGCACACTCGAATATTCAGCAATTACTGTCCTCCATTTGGTATGACGGGCTCCCCGGATTCCGGCGCAAGAGCATTGTGGACAAAGTCCTCTGCATCGGCCAGGTGGCCGTCCTGTTCCCGCTCTACTGCCTCATATACATGTGCGCCCCGAATTGCCGGACGGGCCAGTTGATGCGCAAGCCCTTTATGAAATTCCTCATCCATGCCTCCTCCTATTTGCTCTTCCTGTGTGAGTATTCCCCCTGCGGTGCACAATGCAAACAGCATGGGCTCGCTTAAAGGGGGGGCAGGTGCAATCCATAGGTACTCCCCATGGGATTTCACTTTTCATTTTGGGAACAAAGATCTCCTACTTGATGAAAAATATTTAATATTTAAAATTTTTCATACCCCTATTTAATTGAGAATTTGAACACTGTTAAAAAAAGGGATTAATAATTTCGTATTTAATATTTAAATTTAAAAACCAAAACATATTATTTAAATATAAATTATATTTAATGACATTAAATATGGTCAAGGTAGAAAATATAAGATACGATGCTAGTTATATTTACTTGAATTATTTTATTTTATTTTATAAAAACGGGCTTCATATTTAAATCAAAGTAAAAAATCCGTAAAATAACTGTACTTCTTAAATTAAAAGTTAGTAAAAACAGTGTTGGATTAAAAATAAATTGATTGACAACATTAAAATTCAATTAAGAACCAAAGATCAAACCTGTCATTACCTTTTGAATCTAGAAATTTAAAAAGTAAAGGATGAGAAAAATGATTTTTAAAATTCGGAAAATCTTTCAAACTTTGTGGATACCCTGTACTTTAAGAGCAATTCACAGAGGTTAAAACCTTCCCAGAATCCCCAGTGCTTATGGGGGATTTCGAGTAGTGCAGGGTATAAACAACATTTTTCCGCACAGGTCCTTTTATGACAACATTCCAAGATGGGAATGGGTACTCATTGTTGTTTGCTTTGCAGTCATCTTGATTCTGGTGTCGCAGCGGGCGGACGATGACTTTGTGCGTATCTTCGGATCGGCCAGGATGAAGAAGGAGCTGGCTGAGCAGGAGCTGCGTCAGCGTGGCCAGGCCCCCACTAAGCTGGAGCTCATGGTGGTGCTCTATGTGATTGGGTTCGTGTGGGAGGAGGTGCAGGAGATATTTGCAGTGGGCATGAAGAGTTATTTGCGCAACATGTGGAACTTCATCGACTTTCTGCGGAATAGTTTGTACGTGAGTGTGATGTGCTTGAGGTGAGTGGGTGGGATGGTAGATTTTCTTTAGATTCTATAATATGTCTTGATGATATCCTCTCCCCTTCAGGGCCTTTGCCTACATCCAACAGGCCACGGAAATAGCCAGGGATCCGCAGATGGCCTATATACCCCGCGAGAAGTGGCACGACTTTGATCCGCAGCTTATTGCCGAAGGACTCTTCGCGGCGGCCAATGTCTTCTCGGCCCTGAAACTGGTGCACCTGTTCAGCATCAATCCCCACCTGGGTCCGCTGCAGATCTCCCTGGGCCGCATGGTCATCGACATCGTCAAGTTCTTCTTCATCTACACCCTGGTGCTGTTCGCCTTCGCCTGCGGCCTGAACCAGCTGCTCTGGTACTTCGCCGCCCTGGAGAAGAGCAAGTGCTATGTGCTGCCGGGTGGCGAGGCGGATTGGGGCTCCCACGGGGACTCCTGCATGAAGTGGCGCCGCTTTGGCAAGTAAGTCCAGTCACCAGGCCAATTAGCCACCGGGCTAATTGAGTTGCCCACTCATTTCGCTAATTCAATGTCCCCCAACCCCTTCCACATTCCGCAGCCTTTTCGAATCCTCGCAATCGCTGTTTTGGGCCAGTTTCGGGATGGTCGGGCTGGACGACTTCGAGCTGAGTGGCATCAAGTCGTATACGCGATTCTGGGGTCTGCTCATGTTCGGCTCGTACAGCGTCATCAACGTGATTGTGCTGCTGAACCTGCTCATCGCCATGATGTCCAATTCGTATGCTATGATTGATGTAAGTTCATCAGGTCACTGCACAATTGTTTTCATGTAATCTAATTGTTGTTACAGGAACACTCGGACACGGAGTGGAAGTTCGCCAGAACCAAGCTGTGGATGAGCTACTTCGAGGACAGCGCCACCCTGCCGCCGCCCTTCAATGTCCTGCCCTCCGTCAAGTGGCTCATCAGGATCTTCCGCAAGTCCAGCAAGGCCATCGATCGACAGCGCTCCAAGGTAAGAATGTGGAGATCCTTAGGCTCAAGGGAATTTAAGAACGGGCTGATAGGGTGGCTTTGATTGTGCATATCCCTCCTTAGTGTGTTTATCTCTCAAGTTGCCGAGAAAAACATTGTTCCATTACTTTCTTGTAAGTTCGAGGACTAATTCAAGCCCCGTTTATTTCGACAGAAGCGACAGGAGCAGGAGCAGTTCAGCAAGTATGACAACATAATGCGCTCCCTGGTCTGGCGTTACTTGGCCGCCATGCATCGGAAGTTCGAGAATAATCCCGTATCGGAGGACGATATCAATGAGGTCAAGAGCGAGATCAATACGATGCGTTACGAAATGCTTGAGATATTTGAGAACAGCGGCATGGATGTATCCTCAGCCAACAAAAAGGAGAGGCGTAAGTAAAGGTACTTTTTAGATATCTAAGGGTTCCTAACCCATCATCTTTACAGAGCCACGACCCAGGAGGATAAAAGTCTGGGAACGGCGCCTGATGAAGGGCTTCCAGGTGGCTCCGGTGCAGAATAGCTGCGAACTAGATGCCTTTGGCAATGTCAACGGTGAGGGAGAAATGCGGGAGATCAAGGTGGAGTCCATTCCCTCAAGGCCAGAAAAGGAAACTGCCAGGGAGCGATTCCAGCGGGTGGCTCGCACCGTCCTTTTGCAGTCCACGGCTCACAGGTGGAACGTGGTCCTTAAAGCCGCCAAGGATTCTCAAATAGGCCAATGCGCCAAGAACGACAGGAAGAATCTACAGAACCTGGGCAGAGCCATCGAGGAGGCCAAGAGGTGGGTTATAACTTCAAGGCAAAAGTCCTGTAATAACATATTCCTATTTTCCAGGCTCATACTGCTCAATCCGGGAGGTCCTTCCGGTCGTGAATCGCCTATTCGCATTGAGTTTGAGGACGAAAAGGCAAGCACTTTGCTGGAGCTACTTAATCAAATCAGTGCTGAGATTAGTGATAGCGAAAGACCCAAGGTGAAGCCCATCTGGCGGCCACCTCTGAAGTCCGTTCCTGCCCGTGCCATGGCAGCCAATAACACCAGATCTATGACAGCTCCCGAGCTGAAGATCGGCAGGAAATCCTCGCCAGCACCCACTCCGGGTCCCACTCCCGGACACACGGCAGTCAACCAGCTGAGGAGCCGAGAGCTTGCCCTGTGCCCCAGCAAACTTATAGCCAACTCAACTTCGGGAACCTCCATCGCTCCTCCCAAGAAATCAGCACCCTCAGCCCCAGCTGCTGCTCCTCCACCACCCACCTACAAGAAGGCCAACCCACCTTTCTCCGTGGAGGGTCGCATCCGGCGTAATACCCATACTTCAGATGGTGTGCCAACCGGCAATTCGAGCTTCGACATCCACGTGGTCGATCTGGACGAGAAGGGCGCTCATTTGGCCAGGGATAATGTTTCCGATATCAGCTCCATTGCCAGCACGAGTCCCCAGCGGCCAAAGCATCGAAACTAAATGTGATTGTGGCATGGACACGGGTGATAAATCGCCTTGTTTCCACCAGATGCCTTACAAATAGCTATATTCTTGTATATCTATCCATAAACAAGGAATAAATGTATTTAGGCAAATTAATTGGGAGGTAGCTTTCTGCTTATCTGGAGGGCATCCCCTTTTTAAATGCTCCCCTTCCCAGTAAATAGCATTTACATATAGCCAATGAAGCATCCCTAGACATGACGGACCCCACGGGGCTTAGCTTTCCTCCGGTGAAAGCGTGCGTAAAAATTCCTAAGCCGGAAGCTTCAAAGGCAATTGAGACACAAACATAAACAAGTCGCCGGATAAACGCTGCTCTTGGGAGCCGAAAAGAGAAAGAATTGGAAATTCAATTTGATGTCATATCAATTGATTTTGGGCCGCATCTTTCTGGCGCTGCGGCTAAAGTTCCAGTGCTGCTGACAAGTCCCCCGATAATGGGACTTTGTAGGGGTGAACCCCTCTGTACTTTGAGGTCCTTGGCCCAGTTGGAGGTATTGGTAGCTGCGGCTGGCATTTGATTTTGATGACGCGTGGCACTTTGAAATTTATGCGCCACTCTTAGCACACTCTGTATGCGCCCAATGCCTCGGAAAGATGATGAACGTTCGAAGTTCCAAGCACGTGGGTGCTATTCGGGGACAATGTCTCAAGAGTTTGTGTGTTTTGCATGAAACTTGATGCTTTTTTGCTGACACTCACCGGGGATAAACACAGGTATTATGATTATTACTCCTCGCCCTCCTTGAGTGGAAAATTCTCATGGCTCTGAGCCAAAATTAAGATAAATATAAATGGCATTTTCCCTTGCTTTTGTAATTCATTGTAATTCAGCAGATGCATACGGTGACATGATGAACCTGATATTTATGCTCCAGTTGCCAAAGTCCTGACCAAGTAATTGGCATGCCAGAGACGTTTGGATCCGGTTACCTGACGCATGCCACAAAGCAGAGAAATTCGAAAATTCCAAAAATTCCGTTTATTTACACAAATTCACTTGAATTCCGAACAACATACGAGTTCTCATTATTTCGCTAGGCAGACAAATGTACACAGAGATGGGCTAGTTTGGGTTAATTACACGATACACCTAGTCTAAGATTCAAGCATTTGGATTGCAGAATGCGGATTGTTGTGAGAGTAGATTAGGATGAGGGCATTATCCATCCGTGCGGGCCAACTTCAGTCGCACGGCAATGCGCTTGCACTTCCACATGAGCTGCGTCTCCAGGATGCTGAAGGACATGGCCACGAGGACGAGTCCGAGGAGCAAGTAGGCGCAGCAGGCGTACAGCTGCAGTTCCGGTCCATTGAAGCTCCGGGCGGGCACGAAGTCCCCGTAGCCGATGGTCGACAGGGTGACGAAGCAGAAGTAGGCCCCGTCCACCAGCGACCAGTTCTCCCACAGGGCAAAGATCACGGTGCCCACGCAGATGTAGCAGGCCAGGATGAGCAGCACCAGGCTGATGGGCACCTGGCGCCCCTCCGCCTCCTCGTCCTCCTCCTCGGAGTCCTCCGTCTCCCGGCAGTCCTCCGAGTCGCAGTGGTAGCGCAGCTTCTTCAGCACGAACTGCTCGCTGCCGTGCTGCATGTACTCCTCATCGTCGGAGGTCTCCGTGTTGTTGGCCGTGGCATCGTATAGGGTTCCGGAGGCGTGTCTGTGGCAGCGACGGGTCAGCAGCAGCGTCTTGCGGCTCAGCGGCTGTAGCGTGTGGCGGTTGTAGGCGGCGCCCGAGTCCTGCGGCACGCTCAAAGGACTCGCTATCAGCGGCACCCGTGACGGCGTTCCGTGCGGGCAGTTGCTGCGGAATGATAAAAAACACGGATGGACAATAAATATTTATGCCGCAGCCGAACATAAAATAAATCAATTAGGCATAAAAAGCAAACCCCAGAGCAACCTCAGGTCGTAAAAACCAAATAGCAGGCTGACCTGCCCTGCTGTCCAATCAATAAAGCATAAAACTGTGCGTATACGTGTTCTACACACCAGGCGTATGCGTAATATTACAAGGACTACTTTTTGGGTCCCCTAAAAACACCTCTGTTTCCGTGTGAGAGGAAAAGGTTTGTAAATTAAATTAACATTTTATTTCAGGGTATACTAATATTATGTACTCTGTGTATAGTTGAAGTTTTGAACTACAAATTTAATAACTAAATGTACAAGTATCCTAAGACACAGTCGAACTTCCATAACGTGACTTTCGTTAAAAAGATTTTTTTGTACCTTTATTAAAACTATATTCATTTGCGTATTGAAAGTCTTTCCTTAGAAGTTTATTTGTTTTTAGAAATAACAAAGACTGTTTGCTTCTTAACTGATAGCTTAACCATCTGAAAAAATAAATTTCCTAAAGATTTTAAATGGTATATATGGTGTTCCTAAAGATGATCCTACCGCTTTAGGTAAAACAAATATTCAAAACCCATAAATCACATCACAAGAAAAATATATCTAACTCAAAATCTCTGTATTTTTACTTGTCTGATGGGGAGGTTCGAGTTATGGTAACTCTACTGTATCACAACTATTTTATTCGGCTTTAACTCCGAATCACGGCCAGAAAAACTGCAAAACCGAGTCTGAAAATCTCTCGAATTCAGATCTCAAGTCCCAAATCGAGACTGATTTGATTGACAATCCAAATACCCCTCGAGTTGCCATGGACGAGGGTCTCGGCAACATGCAACAGTCCCCGGGGAACGCTCGTTGGCCGGCACTCCGGTTGCCTCGAGTTCACTCTGTCAAACCAATTTGGCGAACATTTATTGAACTTGGCCAACAGCCTCTCGGGATTTGGGAGCCCTCGGCTGGGCAAACACTTGCTGGAGATGCACTTGCAGAGCGATTGGCCGAACAAGTGGCAGGCAACTACTTCCGATTTTGGCATCGATCAATAAGGACAACATCACGTGTGCACATGTTTACACAGGACAAGGGGGCAACTCAACCAGAGCACTGGGATGCTGCGATTAATTGACCCGATTCATTGCGAGTGAGTGCCCAGCTCGGCTTACAATTAATTACAGACAAGGCTAAAGCTGAAATCGAGCGGGGAGTCTACGTATATTCGCGTATATATTCGCAGGTTCACTGTCAAAATTAATTACCAGAAGCTGCTACTGCTTTTTATTAAATAAAATGCTCAAAATGTGCGCTCAAAAAGGCGAAGGAAACCATCATCAGAAGCGGAGCACTCTTCACTCTGGCAGAAAATGGCAGCCGGAAAGGGGGGGGACAGCCACCGCAGGGGGGAGTGCGAATCCGCAAGGCTGTTCAAGGGAAAACTGGGTGGTTGGGTGGTTGGGTGGTTGGGTGGTTGGGTGGTTGGGTGGTTGGGCGGTGGCTGGCTGGGTGGTTGGGTGGTCGGGTGGCTCAGTGTGCAGCATGCAGATTCTGAAGTGTTGATTTAAAGTGTTGCTGGCAGGCGGAAAGTTTGTTTTCGAAATTAAATTAACAGTTTTCCCCCAGCGCTTGGCTTTCGATTTGCGTTGGCAACAAAAACAGCCAGGCTTTAATCAAATGCAACTAAAATACCTGAAGTTCTCCGCAGGCCATTTTTTGTGCACTGAGCTTAGAGCCACAATTTACATTTAAGAACAGAGTGCTTCATTCAAGAATGCCTTGCTCTTGAAAGGCATAACTTGAAGTTTAAGAAAATTCTTTTCTACACTGAGGCAAATGAAAACTAAGAAGGAAAGCTTTTATTACTACTCGTTATTTTATTAACCAATTCTCAAAATGTAATAATGAGCATTGCAAAAAGTCTCCTTTGTAATGATGTTTTGGAAAAAGCTTTGGTACCGATATATTATCCAAAAGTATGGGATACAAAAATTACTACAAGTTATAAAAAATAATATATTTATAATATACTAAGTAATATATAAATGGAATGTTTGAAGTTTTCTTTAAAAAATCTAAAAGTTAGATGATTTCTAATCCCCCCTTTAAGGAGAATGACAATATCATCCAATTGCTATCTATAGTAGATTTGATTGTCCCTACGTGATATCCTCCCACAGTGATGATAATAAAAATAAACACTAGTTGTTATTTCTCTGGAACCATAGCTTACATCATAATGTTTTCTTGGCGTGTGGTACGTACCTCAATCGCTCCCGCTCCTGCTCGTCCTCATCCTCCATGATGTCGACGGTGGCCGAGGAGTTGGCGCTCAGAAGGGCTGACAATGTGGCTGCTGCCGAGGAGACGGGTGCAGTGGCTGCCCCCGATGATGATGATGTTGTAGGAGGGGCACCACCGGCACCCATGCCACAAACACCTGCGGCCATAAAACTGTTATCGGACAGGGTGGCTCCACCTCCTCCTGGAGCCACCATTGTTGCTCCTCCTGGTCCTCCTTTAATTCCAGCCGACAGTTGTGGGCTTGTCACTGCGGCCGTGTAGGTTACCAAAGGACCTGCTGCTGCAGCGCCTGTTGCTGGTGACCCCGAGTGGGCGGGTGGCAATAAATCATGCCTCCTGGATAAGTCCGGCGATCCTGTGCCGCAGTCCATCAGCGCGTTGATCTCGTGTGGCAGTGGTTTCGTCACGAACTTGGCCCGTCGCACAGCTGAAAAGGGTGAACAATTTAAGGAAACTTGGTTAGGAAACTTTTTATATTTTAATAAAAATATTAACCAAAATGTTGCCAGCGAAAACAAGTAGGGGGGGTCAAAATTAAACGGACCTTGCATAAACCAAAAAAAAAGTTTGCGCACAAATTGGCAAAACAACTTCCGGCAACTGCCACACACGGTTAGATTATCCCGTTAGCCCGTTAGTTCCGCCGGAAGTGGCAGTGGCAGCAGCGGGAAAAGCCGGAAAAGTTGTGCATTTAGCCACGACATAAGGGGCAGGGGAAGGGCCAGGGTCACACTGTGAAAATTATTTGCTTTGCATTTTCAAAGTTCAGCCAGCAAATGCAACAATGTGGCGGAACGTTTCCAATCCGGATTCGCATTCGCCTTCCGCAATTCCATACCCGATTCCATTCCCCCAGACTTTTGAACCAAAAGTTTGGCGTTAGCTTTCATTAGCGGCTGCCACTGGCAGAGTCGGGATGTCAGGGGGCACTATAACATCTGGCGGTACACACAGTGGGCAATTGTCGAGCGCGCCGCACTCCCTCAACTTTTCGCTGCGGTAATTTATTCAGCGGATTTGGTTGTACGACTGGGGAAATACCAAATAGCAGCTATTAGGGGTTTCTGGCTTTTAATTTATCTTAAAAAGTATAGATTTGCAAAAGGTCTTAGGGTCTTAAAACTGAAAGTTATGATGTGGTAAGCCATTTTTCATAGCGTGTTAGAACTAAGTTTAAAATAGAAGGAAAGATATATTATATGTTGGTATTATACATATGTATATTCATACTTAAAATGTATTTATGTACCCACAGATTATTCCTATATTGGATTTTTGAGTTCAAAGTTTAAGCTTAAGTAAACACTTAAATCAAAAAGCCTTCGAAATAATAATGCTCATCCAAATTTCTTTAATAAAATATTCCGTATATTCCGATTAAAGGTTTTAAAAGACATTTTGTAGCTATACTAGTTTAAAACAGTGTAATTATATATTTAAGTTTAATAAGCTATAAGTTTATCCACTGACAAAGATTCGATTTTTGCTTGATCCACACTACACTTAATATTTAACAGATTGCCAACCATTTACCATGGTTAAAGTAGGGGGAAACCTTAAGTACGTAGACTACTCTTCACAACCACTGTCCTGGGTTAATGGTCTGCCCTTCTGGCGACCGAAAGAACGGAAGGAAGCGTACGTCTTTCACTTTGGAACTGTCAGCAGGACGCCAGAAATCGCGGAGTGGAGTGAAGTGCATATAGTGGTGTCCTCTGCTCCGGACATGGCCAATTTGAAAATATTTACTTAAACTTGGACACCACACACACTGGCACACAGAGCGGGGAGCGCACAAAGACATTCATTAGAGTGCAGGGACACATACGTATATGTAGATGTATCTAGTAGATACACATATGCAGCACCATATATCCGGAGTCTCGCAGGAAAGTCACTTTGGTCCTGCGGTCGGGGGAGTTGCAGCAACTTTGGCTGTGCTTTAATGGTGTGGTTAGCCGCGGATTCGGACTCCCGAGGGTCTTGCTTCTCCATTCCTGGATCCTTGCTGCCGGATCCTTGTTCCCGGGTGCCAGTCGCACGCAATTAACATGCATAATGGAATCAATGGCAACGTCTCTTTCCTCGCCGACAAATGGCCGAGTCTCACGCTAGAATTTGCCGTGAAATTAAGCGGAATCCTTTGACAAAACGCGTCACGTGCCGTCGCCTGTTAGCTTTAATGAGTTTTGCATGCGTTGCACAAGCTGAGGGCTCAATGGAACCGGCGGGACTGTCATCTTTGTGCCGAGTCATCATTATCGTCAATAAAACTGTCGCACATGTCGAAAGTTGCCTCAAGTGCATGATGTCCTTTTGCTGATGTCCTGGCATGTCAAGCAGCACAAGTTGAAAACTTTTAATGCCACCGAAGTGTGTGTCTGCTTAACTCTGTCATTTTAACACGCTGCTGCTTCCGCAGCCTGCAAGCTGCTGATGATGATGATGAAAATTGTTATATAATTGAAAGCGTAAATGAGGAGAAAGCAGGGGAGGGGGAAATCATCCTGCGACATCAGGGCGTGTGATTGATTGATTACTGCTCGCTCGTTCGTTCGGTTTTGTTTTGGGGCTCAGGTTAAGCCAGAACTGTCAGCAGAACATTTTCGGTTTTGGCCTGGCGCAAATTGTTCATCCAATTAAATTCCATTTTCCTTTGTTCGATTTATGCAAATTTCCCTGCCTCACTAGCATGAGCACTCATTAACAATTCACAAATATATGGCAATTTGCTACAATTATTTTGGGATTCAGAACACCTTTACACATTTCCAAATATCGTATGACATATTTGTGATAATTTCATTGTAAAGCAAATCAAAAATGTTTTGATGAATTCCTAAAATCAAATGAGCCTAAGCTTATTAAATACTCAAATGACATTCTTTGAATATACATTTTTTATGTAAAACTACCTATTTTACATTGAAGCGGCTATTTTATTACCGATGAAATGGTTAAATTGTTCTAAAGAAAAACTCTAAGTAAATATAATACTATGAAAAAGGCTTTAAATCCTATAAAGAAATATGTTATTCAGGAGGAATTCTATGAGATAATTTAAATTACGAACCAACATGATTTTCAGAAAAATTATCATAAATATATCTCTTGTTTTGTGATCTTAATATCATGATAAAACCATCTGCAAAGTTTTATATTGCAAGTATTTTTCAGAAGAAAAGCTGTTTACCAAGAACCTGGTAAAGTAATTTAAACTGAGATGCGCTTTAAAGTGCCACGTTATATGACTAAAATCGTAGTTGACTTTTGCGGGCAAGTCGCATTCGTGAATGCTGAATCGCCAACCCATTTTGACAGTTTCTCGCGAAATTCGGTTCCTACAAAGGGGGCAATAAACATGGCAATTTCATCACTCACCGTGCACATTGGCCGTCTGATAGGCCGGCGGCGGTGGCAAAGTGATGGCCTCCAGTGAGGAAGCCTCAGATCCTGTGACGAGATTCCCGGGTGCTGCATCCTGGAGTCCAGAAGCCAACACACGATGCTTCCCGGAAGCGGGCTGCAGATGTATCGTGTGATACTTGACCAGCGGCTGCTGTTGACTCAGCGTAGTAGTGTTCCCCATTGGATTGGCATTGGGCATCGAAACGGGGTGGGCGGGACGGCCGGGGGCGGAGGGGGCGGTGCCGAATGGAAAGTAAATCGTGGCAGTCGCGGGAGCATAACAATTGGGCGGCACTGTCAGCGGCATTCGCAGCATGCTGCTCGGCACAGCCACGAAGTTCTGCTGCAGTTGCTGCTGGTGTTGCTGGTGTTGCTGGTGCTGCTGCTGCTGCAACTGGTGATGTTGCTGCTGCAGCTGATGATGTTGTCGCGGGAGGGTTGCTGTCGATAATTGCTGCTGCAGTTGCTGTTGCTGCGGTGCGTATTTCAGCAATGCGCTGCCCGATGTCGTTGTCATTAGCATGACATCCGGCTGCTGCAACTGCTGCTGCTGCTGCTGCTGCTGCTGCTGCAACTGCAACTGCTGCTGATAAAAATGCTGCTGCGGATTCAAGTTGCGCAACAATTGACAGGCATCTGCTTGCCGCACGGCACAAAAGAAAGAACAGACGTGTTCAAGATGATTAACGACTGGCAATTGTGCTGACAATACAATTAGCATCCGAACAATGGCCATTACACTCACCTCCTTCCTTTTTGTCGGCCGGCAGCTTTCCCTTTTGGCCGTACTCCAGGCAGTCATTTAAGCTCGTCTCACTGTTGGCCGCATCGTACTTACAGCCCTTGCAATTAGCCTGCAAATGGAGAGGGAATTGTTTACGGGATGGCCATTGAAATTTTAATCACTTATGACCGTAGGACACTGGCTTTAAATCGAACTAGCTGGATGGATTGGTTTAAGAAGGTCTTAAAAACCTAGAAAAAAAAGGTTATCAGGACATTGCGATTTTTACATACTAAACAAAGTTGGACACAAATCTGAACTTTGTTTACGTTGGCCAAATTGGAAAGGAAATTTAAAGAAGTCATTGGCAAATGGGTAAGCTTGCCGAGAAAAGACAAAGAAGATGATCAGAATCAGATGATAAAGTTTTTAATCAAATAGATCATCTGTCATTAGTTTATCTCCCTTTAATTCAAGGAATATTCCAAGTACTTATCAGAGCGATATCCTTAAGGAAACGCTTTGGCTCTGTAGATGTCCTGGGCCCACACTGCGGCTACTTGACACGATGATGAGGCAATGGCCACGCCAATAAAGCACATAATTTGCAGGCTCAATATGCCGCTTTCTTGGGCCCCGAAACTGATGTCATCATACCCTTGGCCTCAAAAGCTGTTTGCGGCCAGAACGCATGGCATCTCGTGTGCTCTGCGGTTCTGCGGCATCATCATCAAATGCCAGGCAAATCTAATGGACACACAAGCACGCAAACAACCGATGGAAATGATGGAAATGTGAAATGTCGCCCTGCTAGTCTTGCGGTTTGGACCCGGAAAGCCCGGAAAACCCATCCCCGAAACCCGTTACGGCATGCGTCATGATAATTGCAAAGACGAAGGCAGGGGTCCAAAGGGCCAGAAGCCGAAATGGCAGCAGTCAACACGATGGCGATAATAATTCAACCGATGACTGCACATCCCCAGAGCCAACCGCAATCTGCTGGCAGTCTTATCAATTGCCAGCCGAATCCTTGTGGCGCCGCAAAAGCCCAAAAGTCCACTTGGCCGAGCATCGTGTCGTCCTGGAAGATTGGATTGTGCCCTAATGAGTTGTTGTATGCAACATGGGGACCAAAAACAGGCTGCCTTTAGCCTGGCAAATGCAAAAATCCTGTTCAACAAGTCGCAGGCCCGGGAAATCCTGAAAGGAATGCCATGCCTGAGTGGCTGGAAACACGGCAAGTAGATTAACAATCGAGAGGTAGGAAAATGCGAAAAGTTTTTAGTTTCCGATACCATGCACTGAGAAAAAGATTGGTGATACGATGATCATTTCGATGAAATGCAGTATCAATTATATCTAGATGCGGAAGGTATCACTTTGATATGTTCGCCATCTTGCTTTTTGCTCCCTTTTCTCTTTTTGAGAGTTTTCATTATATCTGTCTCTTTCTTGCTCCGAGTAATTTCTCTCTTATTTAATTTTAGAAAATTTTCAAGGAGAGGTAGTTTATTAAGCTAAAAATTTAACTATAAAATTGATCTTTACGTGTTTTTTCTGTGATACATTGTATGTCTGCAGTTCCCACGTCAATCAGCTCTCTTGCTCTTTACTCTCTTTTTCTCTTTCAGAGGGCTTCGAATATTGCTGTCTCGCTCTTACCCAGAGTAATTTCTCTCTTATTTGATTAGAGAGAATTATCAAAGAGAGGAAATCCAATAAATGGTAACAATAATACCGTTTAAGCTTACCATGCTTATATCAACTTTATCCTAAGCAATTTCTATGTATAGATACACCTGCCCCGTAAGACTGCAGTTCCCACGTTCGGCCAAATCATATCAATTTGGGCCAACAGGGCCGGAAATGATAAGTTTATGGCATGCCTCCAGTGAGTGCAATTGTTGAGCGGCGGGAAAACTTTTTCCACCGCCGCCTTAAAGTGGCTCGCACTCATTTCAATTTACCTGGCACGAAAGCCAGCCACTTGGCCGGGAAAAATTAAATTTATGCCGCCGCCATTTGACCCGACTCAAACTGCAAACTAAAGTTGGCGAACTCTTAAAGTGTCGAATGGGGGTTCCCAGTTCCAGTGCTGTTTGCCCTCTTAAAGAGTCAACTTTTGCTGCCTGCGGAATTTCAAGTTTGACGGGCAAAGTTTTTTAGCGCTGAGTTCATTAAAAGTGTCGAGTTTTGTTCGCAAGTAAATGTTAATTTATGGAATGAATTTTTTGTTTGCCGCCCTGCCAGATGACAAACAGGCCAATGGAGTTGCCCTGGCCACCGCAAAATCACTTATTTATTTATTGAACCCTGCTATTCGCTTTCGTTTTTTCGATTTTTCCCCACTCGGCCATAAATTGCCAATTAAACAGAAATTTGTGCAAGCAAAACAAACAGGACGAGGCGGACAAATGAGTGGCCACAATTGAAAAAGGCTGCGGATGCAAACAGAATGAACCACTTTTTGTATACAACTTAAAGCTTTAAAAGCGAGCATTCTCCCCGTACATGGAAAGTCCGGAACTCCGCGATCCGAAAGCAGAAATGTCATCACGGGAGGCCAGCAAATCACTTACATAACTTATGCACGAATGCGCAAAACACGCAAACAAATACAGTCAGTCGGGAAAAAAGGGCTCTGCCAACCTAGTCAGAGTTCTGATATCCTAAAAAATTATTTATAATGTATACAACGAAGCCAGGAAAATAAAAACGCAATAAACCAGGAAAAACGTGAAACCGAACCCGAAACATTCTGCAGTGGGAAGACCTAGAAAGTATGGCGAAAAACAAAAAGGCAAACCGAAAAGTTCTTTGTTGTTTTGCCCAAATCAATTACAAACTTTCAGTTTGCGTTAATAGAAATCCGGACCCGAGTGGAGATCCACTTAAAAGGCTTCTGCTGTCGTAATTAAAGCCCGTAATTTGAGAACCCAATGCAGTTTGATGTTTGAAAAACCCCCCGAATCCTGTTGATAAAAAGAAAATTGCCGGACAATCGAAGATTTGTGGCTTAGGAATTCCCCATTTCCATACATCAGCGAAACAGCATTCCAGGTTTTTCCGCTAGCCAAAATGGAAACTGTCGTAGCTGCCGGAAAAGTTTGGAAAAACTACTAGCGAAACACTTAGTGAGTAGTGGGAAAAGTTCATGCGTAAAACAGCGGCAGTAGCCAGCGAAAGTTTTCCCCGAGAACTTTGGACACGCGGAACAATGCTGAAAGTTTCCATTAAACCGGAATGCACAGCAAAACACTTTGGTCTCGCTTCTTTTGGGTTACTCAGCAGCAACAGTTGCTGCTGGAAGCAGAAAGTAAATAAGTTGTCCCTCCAACTATTGAATTAGGATCCATAAAAATGTTCTCGACTTGCAGTTGCAGTCGATGGAGTGACTGCAGCTGCTGTTCCCGGGTAAACAATATCAATCAAAACGGTCTGAGGAATGGAGAAATGCCACTGGGAAATCAATCTGCGGTGGATGGGTGCAGTAGTCAGCGATATTTCATATTCCTCTAAAGGTTTTTGAGGAAAGAAAATCGATTTAAATGATAAACGTATCTTAAAGAGCCGATTTCTCAATGCCATGTTGAAGTTCTTGATTGTTATCTGTCGGGGAATGTTAAAATAAATGTTAAAAAATTAATAATGCTTAAATAAAGTTCGGGAAGACAAATTCCTTTTTTCACGAGCCTATTTCGGATTAAACCTAACATGATATTTAGAAATTTATGTTTTTTGAAACACCAATTTGACTAAACGATAAAAGGTCTCAAACGGCCTTAAGAAATCTTACCAGAATCTTTAAGAAACAGATGGAAAGGGGTTACTGAAATTCAAATAAAAATATATTTTTTTTAATGCTAGGAGTTCCTGATGAACGGCAGCTGCTGCCTTCGCTTAAAAAATATCAATCATACGCCATGGCTGCCTTACCAGTCGTCGCTTGGAGCCCCTTTCCCTGTCCTTCTCCCTCGACTTGGCCGCCTTCGTTGTCATCGCAGTGGTGGCAGTTGGCCCCTTGGAGGACCCGGCTGATGACCTCCTCCTGCTGTCCCTGTGCCGCTGCAGCTGGCAGCAGAGGCGCACGTAGGTGCACTGCAGGGCGTCGGCGAGTAGGGCTCCCAGGCTGGACAGGCACATCAGCATCAGGGGCACGCCCACCAGGGCGTAGAAGATGGTGGCCAGCTTCCCGGCGGCGGTGCGGGGCGTCAGGCTGCCGTGTCCTGCAAGGATCGGGGTAATATATCTGGTTTAGAGCTTGAGAATGGCAAGCACGAACGGGCTAATATAAATGCATTTTAATCGGGTGGATGAGGGGGACAATCTGGGGAATGGAGCAGGAGCCCTTGGGAACTCAATCTGTGATGGGATGGCAAAGCATATGGTATCACTTTTCCAGAGGAGAAAGTTGGTACTTAAAAGATCACAAATAAAATGGCCAGTTATCTTTAAAGTGTGTGCTACTTAAGGAATTATTTAATTATCTCATCATTCTTTATTAATTTATTGTTAAATTTGTATCTGTTACGCTTTTCAAGTTAGGTATAAATTTCCATTTTAATTTTCATCTGGTAAACCACCATAACCTAAGCAAATACACCACTTCATAGACACTTATTAGAAAGCCAATGTTTATCACTTTAACCCAGTTAATATTTAACCCAAGCAATGTACACAATAAATCCGTTAAGTGACATATTTCAAATCTAATTCACATCCCCCAACAGCTGGCCTGCTGTTAAAGTTTAGGGCCCTGAGATACAGTTAATTTGTAGCAACAAGGATGGCCCGAGCGTTTAGCATATGCAAATATTTAGAGCCGGCCTACGGGTCGTATACACAATGTCTGATGTCCTGCTACTTGAGTGGCTGCTCCTGTGTCCTGTAGTTTGCTCTCGAAGGCGTTGGAATAGAGCATGTCGAGGTCTATGCGCCCCCCGCAAAGTAAATATTTGTTGGCCACAGCACGAGTTGTGCCCTGGTCGGGAATCATAATAAGCAGTTCTGCTCGGCAAGCATCGAGATAAACACTAAACATAAATCCAGGGGGCTTAGGTATTTCGGGTGAGTGGGGGCGAAAGTGAAAGTGCAGATGCGAAAGCGAAAACGGAAGCGGAAACAGGAGCGGAACTCACCAATTGTCGTTATCACAGTGACCGAGTAGAGCAGCGCCTCGCTGAAAGTCCAGCTCTGGGAGTCGCCGGCATCGTAGCCAAAGTGGCCCAGGGCACTGGCACTGCCCTCGTGGAAGAGTCCTCCTCCTGCTGCTCCGGATCCCCCTCCGGATCCTCCGCCAGATCCTTGGCGCGTGGCCGCCACAATGGAGCCCTCGAAGCGACGCAGCTGCTCGTGGACCAGCATCGTCCAGTTGCGTTCGTACAGAACGTTGAGTTTCTCTGAAAAAAAAAGGGGGTAAAGGTTAAATCGGGTCTCCTTCAGAATGCGTTCAAGTGTCCTTTCCGTAATTATGCAATTTCATGCCAAGTGCAGCCGCAGCCTTCGACCTCCCATCGACACGGGCGACAAGTGCCGACAAATCGGACCAGCCTTGGATCACCTTGCCCCACCTCCGACCTCCGACCTCCAATCCACAACCGCCCCATCCCCTCCTTCGATTTCGGTCGCCTGTCTTGAGGAATCTGCTCCCATTCCATGTCGTGTGCAAATTGCAGAGGTCGCTTGTTAACAGCAGTTCGAGACTAGTTGGCCGCCCTTTTCACGCCCCCTGGCCTTGGGTGGGTGGGCCTCGGGTGGGTGTGTACTTTTCTGTAGATACACAGCTCTCGAATCTTGAAGCCCCGGGGCTGCACTTCCCCAGACATCATCCAGCCACCCTAATCGACTGGAGCAAGTTGCCAAGAACAAAGACAAAATCAAACGATTTTCTCTGCCAATCTTTCCGACCTAATCGACTGATTTTCGAATTTTCTCTTGAGTTCAGAACTCTAGAGTTTAGAAGAAACTAATTGGCAATGAATAACAATGTTAAAGCTATGTTTAACTTGGGTTTAAGATACATATTTAATATTTGAAGTTTCATTACATTTACATTTATAATTCTTGATACCATATTCTCTCTGCCATCTCAGCTTTCTTCATTAAGCTTAAAATATCTTTTGAGCCTGTGTCAAAGCTTAGTTATTTTGGTAATAGCTAGTACAACTATTTCATGTTGTATACCCTTTTTTGACAGCATTAACCCTTAAAAATATCATCTCACTCAGTGGAAAGTAATAAATAACCCATGTGGAGGCAAGACGAAGGCAGCACATCATTAAGCACTCATCGAATTAATCATAAGCCAGGTGGGACGCCTCTGCCGCGGATGAGCTCAGGTTAATTGGATTATTTATTATGTGAAATTTTAATTAAATAAGCGCCAGGTCTAAACACACGCACGTGGAATCTTTTCTCCAGCCTCGAATCGAGTGCCACTGGCAGGTGCGACAAAGTAATTAATTTCACATAAATCAGGCCAACAAATAGACCTCAAAATATGTAGTTGCGATAAACGCGGCGCCCTCGAATCGATTGGATATCGCACACTCGCGGAAACGAATTAAATTACCCCGCCTGACCAAATATTTGGCTATGCAAATATTTAGCTATTATTCAATTCGGTAGCTGGCAAAATGAAAATTAGCCGTCCCTTTGTTTTGAGGGGATCCTGAGTGGGATGGTTAGTTTCCAGTCCGCCGTGTTTGTCGGTACTTATAATTAAAATATTTGTGCTGCCTCTGCACTCGCCACCGCTACTATTTACTTAGCATTAATGGGCGATAACAAAACATTGTCGCTTTAATGTTCGAATTACTTTGCCAATTTGCAGCAAATCAAGCGTGCAAAGCACGCCGAAAATTTACGGGCAATGCGGCAAAAGTGTGGTGGTGATCATAATTTATGCGAATTTTGGGCGTCGCCAGCGAAGCGGTAAAATATTTCCTGCATATTGAGGCAGAAACAAAAAATCACGATAACAGATCAAAAGAGCTAGATTTTAATATATTTTTACCTAAATAATTGTATCTAAATTGTAAAATAAATCAAATAAATAAAATTCTGCAACGGATTAAACGAGGTTTAGTTTATATTGGTACCCATACAATGGATTCTGATTTCTAATCAAAATCAACAAGGCTTTCTACAGTTTATAAGAATTTCGATTTTTATTCATCATAAAAAAAGCTGTTAATGCTCGATTTATTTTGTATATAACTCAGTTAGCATTACTTCTTGAAGAAAAAATGTGCTCCTCATTAATTTTTGTATTCAAAATAATAAAATAAATGTATTTTTTGAACCAAATAGCTTAAAAAACATATACAACACAAATCAATTCTAACTTTCATTTTAGGTGTCAAAAAGTATGCAGTGAATAAAGGATAGTGGCCTTTCAGAATGAATTCATTGTACTTCTAAGTTAAAAATATTTTGTTGCATACTTTTAGGCACGTCGGGACAATTCTAAAATGTAATATTCTGTCATACCTTTATAGTAATATAAAAATCTTTGGATTCAAGGCTCACCTGTTATGATCCAGAGTTCGCGCAGACAGTCCTCACGGCTCTTGGCGATGGCCGCCGACTTGCTGAGGTCCTGCGGCGCCTCCAGTAGCGGGAAGATGAGGGCGCCCAGCACCGAGTAGCCCATGACCAGGAGCACCAGTCCGGGCGTGGAGAGCAGCAGCTTGAGGAGGTGGCCGCAGCAGCGCCGGAAGCCGCTGCCCGGCTTGGGGGTCAGCGAGGCGGTGGTCTTGGCGCCCACTTCCGGTCCACAAACAGCTCCTCCGGCTCCGAATTCGGCGGGATCCGTCTCATCGTCGATGGAGCAGTCCAACTGGGACGGCTGATGCTGCTGCTGATGCTGCTTGTTGGCCTTAATCGCCTGCTCAACGTCGGACATGATCGCTCAGTGTTCAATGGCATTTAGTGGCCACCTGCTCCTCCGTTTCCGTTTCCAGCGAGCATTTCCGTTTCCGCTGCGGGCAGAGCTCGTGATTCATGGCTCGTCGTCCAACCCCTTGGCTCACTAATTGCAACAGCGATTCCTCATCGTTCGCAATGTCGCTTTGTTCTTTGTCTATGGTATAGAACACCACCCTGTATCGCCCCTATATCTTTGTCCCCCGACTGTCTGTCGCCTGTCTTCCTATCCGCTTGTTGCCTTCAGCCAGCGTATTATGTTTTAAGCTGTCGTTGACTTGTTTTTGCTGATGATGTTGCTTCTGTTGTTGGGGGTGTTGCTGCTGTTGCTGCTGATGTTGCTGCTGTTGCTGCTGCTGACGTGGCATTTAGCATTGTTCCCGGTCTATGCACTCCATGGACGGCTCCTCCTGCCGACCGTTTGTACTTTTAAAGTTGTTGTGCCAGTTTATTCCCCTCCGTTGCTGCCTGCCTGTAATTGAAAACATTTGTATGCTGTAGTTGGTATTCATATTGTTGCAGTTGCTGCTGCTGCTGCTGCTGCCTGGCTGCTTCCGTTGGAGTGCACTTGGCAGTAGGTTAAGCGCACACAAAGTGAAAACGTACTAAATTCGACACTTCACTTAATCTAATTAGCAACTCTTTAAATCCCTGACGCAAAATAAATATTTATATTTATTCAGTCTATGATTGAGTTAAAACAATGCCTGTGTCACAGCAAATCAGTGGTAATTAAATACATTTTTTTGTCCCATATCAATGGAATTAAATACGTGATTGCATATACTTAATAACTTAATTATGCTGTGGTTATAATGCTGCATTTTTAATCAGCACTAGATGGATAGGCCGGGTGTTAATAAATCCATCTCATTTAACCCACTTCTGCTACATTTTATCGATTTCCTCTTGGCTGTTTAAGCTCCTTTTAAAGCATCGTTTAACCCGACTTCCCCAGCATAAGCTCATTATCGTATCCAATCGATTAAGCCCATAAAAATGATAACAAAGCCTAAGTCCATATAGGCAGTGCGTAATACAAATCGAATGTGTGGCATTAGAGGCGATAGAGACTGGCAAATTGAATCTGTCTGCTGGCATCTGAATACACATATCTTTTGAATGGTACTTGGATGTACATGAATCCAACCTTCACACATCAAAGTCTATAATCGTAATGAAGCTGACTTCGTGGGCGGCTGGAGTAATGCGCTTAGGATGTTTAGACATTGAACCAATTAAAGCCGAAAGGGAAAACTCGGCTATTAGTTATTGAAGCTCCCGGGGAAATTCAGGGGGCAACACGCAACATTTATTGATGTGGCCGGGTTACCAGGAAGGGAAACCCTGGAGAAAAACATTTATTCTTTTGTAGCCGCCCTTTTGTGAGGAAGAAAAGGCGTCTTCGTCTGGCACACGCAATTTACTTAATTGGAAAATAAAATAAGCCAAAGCCAGAGACTGGGATTTGGGATTGGGTTTTGGGTTTAGGGCTTAGGGCTTCTTGAGCTGGAACTGGGCCAGACCGGAAACTGCTTGGCTAGCGAAACAATGGCCACTCGAGTCGCTTTTTATGGCTAGCGCGCATAATTTAATTCGGCCAACAACGGGGCGTATGAGCAACAAAGCACCAAGGCGCTGGCTAATGCAAAATTAATGTCAATCGCCTTCTGAAAGGGGGGAAATGCCAATGCCCTCTTAATTGTGACCTAACATTTGAACTGCGTTGGAGACACGAAGGACATTGAGGAAAAGCCAGCCGGAAAAGCGAAAAGGAAAAAGAGCAAAGGGCACGAAGCAAAATGTCTGCCGGAAGTTATCCCTTTTAGCCAGATTGAAATCAGCTTAGAGTCCCTCCTTAATTGAAATGTTTGCGTTTCACTTTAATTAAAGCGTTTTCAGCCGCCCGGCTGACAAAACCCCCTTTCAATCCAAAGGATATTCCCTCATATTTTCTGTATTTCATCGGATTTCATTCATTTCATCGCTCTTCACCGGACTTTTTCGCACGTCATTTTAAATGAAGTTGCCTGCCCAAGTTTTAATAGTTAAGTACGGCTGCAGAACCAGGATAACGTGGCCAAAAGCAAAGTCCCCCCATCTCATTTCCATTCATTTCCTTCGCCGCCGACTTGCCTTTTGTCTCACTCCGCCCCATTATGCAGTATTTATTATTATTATTTTTAAATGCAATGACAACAAACGCAGTTTAATTACAATTTTCAACTCATCAAATGCAGCAGCCGCAGCGGAGAAAAGCGGAGCAGAAAAGAGGAGCAGAAAAGAGGAGCGGAAGCGAAGGACATCGGGGAACATCCAAGGAAAATGGCGCTAATGGCGCCCACATTTCTCATTCCCAGCCAGCTTTTCCCACTTGGGAGACCCGGACAGCTTGGCTGTTTTTAAATCCAATTTCGCATCATAATTTTATAACGCGCCCGGAAAACTCTTTGCTTTGCCTTGGCTCCCTGTCCTGTCCCCAGAGAAGCCCTCCTCTCCAGATCCGATCCCTTTCCTCACTGGCCATTGCCGATTTAATTGCATTGCTGACATTTAGCACCCAGAACTGGGAACCCACAAAAAGGACATCATGGTGGAAAGCACATCGCATAAATGAGAAAAATTGCAGGAAGAGCAAATGCAAAGTGGATTTTTTGATCGGAATTCGGTATTCGAACCATATTTGCATGTCCGTTTGTTAATTGAAGTCGAGCAGAGTCATCAACTCTGTTTGGTCGATTTGCCATTGTGTTATTTGTGTAAAAAATTAACATCATGTCCAATCAAATAAAGGGTAAATAAATAATTGCACTACCAAAAAATTAATACATCCCCCATTCGTGGAAAAAATTAAACAAAATGAAAATATTAAAGAAATGAGTACCTATATTCACAGTATGTAAATTTATTAAATAGATATTAGCCTAATTACAATCATTTTGAAAATGACACAAAAACCACGTTGCTCTAATATGGCTACATAAGTATTTGATATATTAATGGTATTTTAAATATGTATAAAATGAACAGTTTAGCATTCAATCATGAATATAATGAATTTAAATAACCTACAAAATGGCGTTTTGCTAATTAGTTATTCCCAAATGAAAACAAATTGATATTCTAATTGTGAAATGAATAGTTTAAGGCTATTATTAGTAAATGAGTAAAAAACAACTAAATATTAATTGACAAAGGAAAACGTTCAGTCAAATATTAACAAATTAATAATGTTATATTAGCTGCGATATGAATAGTGAGCCATCGCACTTTTTAAAGTTTTTAAAGGATAAAGGTTATTATAAAAAACCTGCTATGGCGGGATTACTAGTTGGTCATTTACAAACGAAATCAAATATTATTCTAATTAGACGATGAATAGTTAAGCATTGCATTATTTAAAGCCTTTAAGGGCACGATTAATGGGTAAGTTAATACATTCAGATTGTAAGCATTATTGCAATATATATGTTATTTTAAATGTGAAATGAATAATTAACTGTTGCACCATTAAAGGATGAAAACAAAAGACCCAATAAATTAGAAAGAAATTAAAACAACAGTCGCCGACAAGCGGGCTTTATTTATAAGCAGAACAGAACAATAAAATTGCTCAGTCAAGTGCCTATAATGAAAACTAAATGCTGCGAGATTAGTGGTCTGCGGAGGAGCGGGACTCCGATAAGGGGATTTCCCGGCGTGTTTTCTACGCCTTCGAGGCCATAAAATCAGTGAAGCGTGCGCTCAACTTTTAGCACATTAGCCAAGAGAGTGCGAATAATAGTGGGTTTTACGTAGAGCCAGAGGTGCGAGACAAAAACCGAGCGGTAGATAAACAGATACAGATGGGGATATCCCGGCACAGGAAATTCATATGATTATGATTATGCTTTTGGGGTGGGGGAGACTCCTGAGCGGCGCTAATAATTCATATTAGGGCCAGAACAAAGGGGCCAAAAAATAAAAGAATGGTAGCCCCGGAAGAAAGTGGCTGGCAAGTGCAGGCCAACGGACATAATGTGCAGCAGGATCCAGGATATAATGACCATGTTAATGCCCAACACAAAAGTGCACTGAAAGGAAATGAGCAAGATAAGTAACGAGCCCGAAAACGCTCCTTAGTCCCCCGGGTGGCAAACTTTCACGGGTTGCAAAACAAGGAAAACTCCGGAAAAGCCAGTGGCTTCGGCTTCCTTGGCCGTTCCTCATTAAACGCACTCAAGTCGCTAGCTACAATCTTAATTATGTTGTAAAGTCTTTCGGCCAGGAGGGTCTAGAGCTGAAAAAACACCAAACACAACCCGTAGCAAAGCTTTTCAGCTGCCCAGGAAAAACTTTGGCCGCGCTGATTAGTTTTTCGAGTGCCCTGCAGTCCAAGTCGGCCAGTCAAGCGTTTCCACTCAGTCTGTCATCTAGTCAGTCGGCCATCAGTGGCAGTAGTTCTATGGACTGTGAAACTTTCCCGGGCGGCGTGGCGGAACAACAAAAACTCATTAAAAACTGCACAAATGCAACGTTTGGCCCATAAATACACGGCAGCACCAGCTCCCCCATTCTCGGAAAACCAGGATGAAGTGCCCATGGTGGCCGGCCAAGTCGAGCGGGAAAATGCAAAACTGCCCAACAAATGCACAATAATTAGAAGCAAATTTAAAAGTCGTTTGGCTGCTAATGAAGGCTTCCTTTGTGCCCGGAAAAGAGAATGGCCGGGCCAAAACCAAAACTGCAGGGCTGAGGCTGCAAAGATGTTGCCGGCTAATGGCCAAAATTAGTTCAATCAATTTCCTTGAAAATCATAATTGCAATTTCGAGTAAATAGGGCTGAGAAGGGTAATTAAAGTTTGCGGGATAACAAAGAAAAGCAAAATAAGTAGAAGGCCGCAGGAGATCTAAATAATTCAAAATAAAATGGGAAGAGGGGTTATAAATCTGGAAATTATCTGAAATAATATATTAAAAATTTAGGGAATACAAATCAGCGAATGAATTTAGGTCTTTCTGTATGTTGTCTTTCATTGCTTGATCAAAAATATCTCAAATATTTACCTGGTTATGTGCAAATGAATAATTCAAATACGATTTAAGCCAAACCACAATCCATTGGAGAGAAAAATCTAATCTAAAAAATTCTACAAATTATGGAAAGATTCCTTTATAAATCTGGAGAATAGCTGAAGTAAGTTTAAATAAAAATTACTTTAAATGAATAACTAAGAAAATTCCTAGTCAGGAATTCCATTAAATATATTCTCTAACTTGTGCAAATTAATTATAGAAATGTTTTGCATAGAATTCAGCAAATTACTTCCCATTCCTAAAGCATTCCGAAGTTTTTGAATGTGGCTTTCAATACTTCCTTAAAAATGTGGTAAATATTTAATTGGTTTTTGGCAAAAGAATGAATCAAATTAATTTAGAGACTGGCTCAAATAAGATTTAAGCCAAACCACAATCATTTGGATTGGTTTCAAA